CCGCGGGTCGGGGCTGCCCCGCGGCCACCGAGAGTCTAACGCGGCTTCTCCGCTTGCAGGAACGCGCTGATGTTCAATAACGAGCTCATGGCCGATGTGCACTTCGTCGTGGGCCCTCCGGGGGCATCCAAGAAAGTTCCTGCCCACAAGGTTGGTGCGGCTGATACGAGTTGCTTCCCCTTCCTCCTCCTCCCCGCACTCGGGAAGCAGACTTCCACGTGTCTCAGTCTCAATGGCATTTTCTTCCCCATCGGAGTAACGAACTGGCTCTCGTCTGTCTTTAAATGACACGGGCCTGGTTCAGGGAAGCTGTCTGGTGGAGCTGCAGCTTTTTAAGCTTTTCCCCGAGCGTGGCTTCTTCCATCGGCTCGCGTGTTTTGTAATCGCTGCTGCTACGTGCCACTAAGACGGTCTCTCCTCTCTCTCCTCCTTTTTACAGTATGTTTTGGCAGTCGGTAGCTCTGTCTTCTATGCTATGTTTTACGGTGATCTCGCAGAGGTCAAATCTGAAATCCATATTCCAGATGTGGAACCTGCCGCCTTTCTAATCCTATTAAAGTAAGTGGTCATTACAGCTTACGTGGGGAGAATCGGAAGTGGCTTGTAAAAGACAGGTCTCCTTTTAAACGGCACCTAGCAATCCACGTGTGCTACATCATTATGAGCTGTGCTGACAAATGCTGAATGCCAAATTGCTACATGCCACTTAAGATGATTGTAGCTTAATTTTGCCCAGCCTACTTCTTGCTTTTAAACAACATGCTTATTTCTGTTGTTGTGTTTAGGTACATGTACAGCGATGAAATTGACCTGGAGGCCGACACGGTGCTGGCTACGCTGTACGCTGCCAAGAAGTACATCGTCCCGGCCCTAGCAAAGGCTTGCGTCAATTTCCTGGAGACGAGTTTAGAAGCGAAAAATGCCTGCGTTCTTCTGTCTCAGAGCAGGCTCTTTGAGGAGCCAGAACTGACGCAGCGCTGCTGGGAAGTAATTGATGCTCAGGCAGAAATGGCACTGAAGTCGGAAGGCTTCTGTGAAATAGATCAACAAACGCTAGAGATCATTGTAACCCGGGAAGCGCTGAATACCAAGGAGGTGGTAGTTTTTGAGGCTGTTCTTAACTGGGCAGAGGCTGAATGCAAGAGACAAGGGCTACCAGTTACACCAAGGAACAAGAGGAATGTTTTAGGAAAAGCCTTGTATTTGGTGCGGATTCCAACTATGACTTTAGAAGAGTTTGCCAATGGTGCAGCTCAATCTGACATCCTTACCTTGGAGGAAACTCACAATATATTCTTATGGTATACAGCTGCAAATAAACCCAAGCTAGAATTTCCCTTGACAAAAAGAAAAGGACTTGTACCTCAGAGATGCCACCGATTTCAGTCATCTGCATATCGAAGTAACCAGTGGAGGTACAGGGGTCGGTGTGACAGCATCCAATTTGCTGTAGATAAACGGATATTTATAGCGGGACTGGGCTTGTATGGGTCAAGCTGTGGCAAAGCTGAATACAGTGTCAAAATTGAACTTAAACGCTTGGGCGTTGTTCTTGCTCAAAATCTCACAAAATTTACCTCGGATGGATCCAGTAATACTTTCTCAGTGTGGTTCGAGCACCCTGTGCAGATTGAGCAAGACACATTTTACAACGTAAGTGCCATTCTTGATGGCAATGAACTCAGTTATTTTGGACAAGAGGGAATGACTGAAGTACAGTGTGGAAAAGTGACATTCCAATTCCAGTGCTCCTCAGACAGTACCAATGGGACCGGAGTACAAGGTGGACAAATTCCTGAACTCATTTTCTATGCATGAGGCATTTCACTTTGATTGTATTCCAGTACTGCTATGCACACTAAGGGATTTTTTTTTTTTTTAATTTTACTACAGTTCTACAGCAGTATGGAATGTGACGCTACTTACCTATACTACATCAGGCTATCAAATACGTGAAGGAATGCTCTTGAACTTAATCTTATTTTATTTATTCATAAGCTGTTGACTTAATTATTACAACTGCAGTATGCAGAAAGAGGTTAAATTCCGCACGTATTGTGCATTTATTTTGTATATAGATGATAGCCAACTTGCAGATTGCAGCTGACTCAGACAGAATGTTCTAAAGTAGAGCAGTTTATGAATCTGTGAAATATAAAAACATTTTTACTTGCCCTAAACACTTGCGTACTTTAATCACTGCTGATGTGTTTTGGCTTGTTTCTGTGTGTTTTAAAAATACTTCTGGTACAGTTCACTTATCAAAATGATGTAAACAGAATACCTGCTTCTGTGTTTGTTCACGAAGGGCATGACTATATCGCCACACATACAGACATTGAGCTCTTTCTGGTTACCTTGCAGAGCAAACTGGGGAAAATATTCTGCTGCTTCCTCTTCTAAAGTTAACGTACCTGAAACCTCAGCTTTGTATACTAATATCTAAACCTTGGTATAAAACCAAGTTTAAGTTTAAATTTAATCTCAGCTTTAATTTATAACTGTACAAGTTCAAATTGCATTTAGTCTCTCTCAAATTGGGAAAGGTTTAAATTAAACAGACATCCATTTTTGAGTTTTTAGTTGTTAATTTTGTGCAAGACCTGAATGGACAGGGTCTCCGCTCTGGGATTTTAAAGCTTAGATTTTTATATTTAAATAGCCTCTTGATGGCAACCAAGGACCAGAATGTATTAATATTCTTAAACTGCCCCCATTCAAGAACAAGCTCAAGAGAGAAATAGGTCACTAACACAAATTAGGTTTTTTTTAATTATTGCTGATGGGGGGGGGGAAAAAACACCTCAAACACTCTACACACAGTATTACAGGTGTGTTTGTTTTTCATCCAGTTGAGGCATGTAATCTGCAATACCTTTTTTATCACTTATTTGCTCTTGCTAAGCAAACTAAAGGATATATCAACTACACAATAACTAGTATCTGCTACTTTATGACCATTAGTAAATATTCCCTTTGTCCAATCTCTACGTGCTATAACTAGTCCACCTCTTCCCACTCGTTGGGGGGGGGGGTACAAAACAGCAGCCCAGAACTAGAGGGTTCCTCTCACAGGTGGAGGTATGATCTGTCCTAGTCTAAAAAAGCTTCCTTGTTCATTTCTAGAGAAATGTGCTGGCTGCTCCATATTTGTAATATGTAACTTTAACCTAAAGTGTAATACATAGCTTCCCCTTCTGTCTTTAGAAACTGCAGTGCAAAATAAGAGAGGGAGATCAGAATTTTTTCTAACCAGAAAAAGAATACCCCTCAAATATTTAGAATATAAAAAGTGAATTGAACCAGGGACTTGTGTGATAGCTAGGTATTGTCACACAGTGCCTGCATTTCACATTCAATATTTGGACTGGTGATGCATCACATCCAGGGAGAGTAAGAGCTAGCTGTGAGCAAGCAGACTGAAATGGCCCTGTTCGGCAGTAGTCTCACTCCCACAATGTAGACTAAATTGTTTTGAGAGTGGGAGAAGCTACAGGGGAAGTAATAGGCTAGAGAGAGTGATAGTCACAAGACACTTATGAACCAATCATTGTAACTAGACTTGACAAGAATTCCACTGGATTAAATTAAAGCAAATTTGACAAAGTCCTGAAATATGATGTGTGTGCACTGCTACTGCCAGAACCATACAGTAGAGAGTAAAAATTGTTTTTGCACAACCCAGGGAGCAATCTTCTTCCACGCTCCACTTCTTTTAAATAGTTAACAAGCTAAAGCTCTTCCTTATTTTTCGTAAATCTTCCTGTATGTCAAGTGTTATTTATACCTGCTACAGTAAAGAACAATAAGTGAGCCTCACAAAATTTTAACTAATGTTATGCCTTGTTTGGACGAACTGTAATATTGTAAGCCTGTGCAGGTTTGGACATAAACATAGCTCTCATCTCAGTGCAGAGACTCAGAGCTTATGCTATACGCATACTTAGGTGGAGTGAATGACCAAACTAAAGCTTGGTGTTCAGATTAATTCTCTATATCTGTTTATTTTCAACTTTTTTACCACAACCTCTCTTGAATTTCATTGTAAACTGTCCTTTTCAGAGAGAGTATGGTACTATACAATTTTTTCAGGTTTCTAACAGCAACCATAAAACTATACCAAGTATATCAAAGTACCAAAAGCCAACTATTAACACAAAGAAAAATACCTATAGCTGGAGCATTTATGCAGAGCTCTCTGGCCAACAGAAGAAAAGTTTTTCCCAGCACATAGACATTCACCTGTTAAAAACAGAAAACATGCATTTGTTTTATGAGACTCAAATATTTAAACAAACAACAATCCATTTTAGAGAGAAAAAATACATCCTTGAAGCATGATATAACTTTAAAAGATATTACCAAAATAGTCTGGAATTAAAGTAGCCTTTTGATGCAAATCCAGAGATCTGTACAGAAGCTGTCGCTAAAACATATGTGAAAAGTTAACGTTGGCAGCCAAACCTAATTAAAAGACCACACCAAAAACAATTTCACTGCCTCACAACTTGTCCATTATGCTTTTCAACATAAATGACAGCTATCATGTCCCGAAGTCCATAGACAACTGTCTGATTGTCAGTTTGCATCTCAAAAGCTTAATATTTTATATAGTCATACATCAATGTTACATTAAACTGTAACGTGACAGTGGCATTCTTCTCCTAACATAACAAAACCTAAACAAATAATTGCAAGTTACTACAATTTTAGCTCTGTATAATCACGTCATGTCATATAATTAGAATTGCACAAGCACAAACCAAATTGCTTTTTCACAAAGGAAAGGAGTGGCACTCAATGCCCCAAGGATTCTTGCCTGTCTTCATTTTTCACTTGCTGCCCAAGCACTAACATACTGCTTTAATGAAGAAAGCTCTTATTCAGAAACTTGGTTACTTGAGAAATTACCTCTTTTTCTAAGAGGGTATATCACAGTTGAGATCGAGAGGTGCTCATACTGGGGCTCCCACAACAGAAACAAGGAACGGTTGTCAAGAGGTTCTCTGTAAGGGCTTAGAGTAGATGCCTACACCTAGGTCCACCAGAACTGTTAGCCTTCCAGGCACACTACAGGTCCCATCTTTTCCCTACTCCCTCTGCCCCTTTTCTTTAAGGCCATTGAGGAGGGTGTGGGCTAAGGCACAGATATTTATGGACAGTTCTTTGTATTCAGGTTTTTTAATTTTATGATATAAACCTCTATAGTATTTTAGAAGTCTTAAAGAAATTAAATACGGTACTAAGCTAGACCTGTGCAGCCAAGGAGAGGAGCTCAATATTCTTCCATTCCTAATTCACCCTGGGTATCCCTCCCAGTTACAGGAGCAAGCTGTTACCAAAAGGTATAAAGAAAGGTTAAAGTCTAAAACTCCAAATTCCTGCATGATACCGCAAAAAAATACGTAGGTATATATTTTTGGAAGTAGTGTGTACTCTGGTGGTTCTATGCAGCAGAAATGTCCCTCTGTCTTCTATACCAAGCTAAGTGAGGGTGCTTAATAAAGAAGAGAATGCAACTGGACCATTGAGATGCACCAAACAAGATGACAGAAGGTCCAAGGACGACATGCAGATCTCATTAGTAGGGATTCCTAATGGATGCCAAATTTACAGTGAGCTTTCTTCCTCTGTATCGGACATCTCTATCATGCAACTAAAAGTTTTTCACCTTCTTTAAGGAAAAAAAGGTAGCAGGAGAATTTTCCTTACCTGAATTCATTCAATGATCTTAACAAGAATCTCTAAGGCTTTCAAACACTCTCAGATCATTTAAACTCATTGCCCACATATGATCACAAAGGAACCCGCATATAAGTGCATGTTAACTCTTTCTATATGGAATAGTATGGGTTGAACATCTGTGATTGCAACTTCTGCAGATGGCCAATGGTGAGGCAGGTCTAGAAGGTATAAGTGTAGAATTTTTACCTTTCATGGAAAAAAGAAGGTAAAGATAAAAACCCCAAAGGGAATGTGTCACAGGAGACAAAGTGACATGTGTCCCTGCAATCAGGATTAAACTCGGTGCGTACTAAAGTTATTGAAATGAACAGACAGCTAGGTTAGACAGACAGATCCCAAATTTGCAAGCATTTCCTGTAGGAATTTGAGACTGTAAACCATGAGAATAGGATTAGAGCAAAACTATGCCATGTTTCCAATGTTGTGGTTCTGTAAAAGCATTGTAGTTTGCTTTAACAAACTACTTAATATATTCAAGAGATTTTTTTTTTCAAGTTATCATTCCAGCCTTTTAGCCAGCTGACATGGAATTATAACTAAGTTCCATAATTTAGAAATATAATCTGCCAGAAAGATTTTATTGTACAAAAAAAGAATAATAAAATTACTCCATTAGAGCCAAATACACCTGATTTTTCTCATCCCAGGCCTTCCTGACCTACCTAGTCCTGTCATTTAGTCTAGGGGAGTGGACAAATCAAGTCATCAAATACTCCTGGGGTTTTTTCCTCCTGGTATCATCCATAAATGACTGTTTTGTCCCTATCTAACCACATCTTTCTATACAATAGGACACTCCCTGGCAAACTTTCCATAAAAACACTCATCAAACATAAAAGCTATTTTAAAAAGGCAACGGAAACAGTTTCCTTTGGTTAAGTCCTAGAAATCAAAGAATTCCATTCATTTTTAAACAGAGCCAGATGCAGAGCTAAATTGCTTTACCGCAAAATGTTTCTTCCATCCCTGGACTTAACCAATGTCCCTAGGTCTAGGAGATACCTAAAATTTAATCCATCTAACCCACTGCTCCATGTCACCACATCAGGAAGAACAGTATGGCTGACCAGCAGGTGCAAAAAGAAATAAATATACCAGGGTATTTCTACTTAAAGATAAGAAGTCTGGTTTTTTGCAGTGTTTGGTTACTACTGATTCAGAGGGAAAGTCAGTATTATATCGCACTGGGCACATTATGTGTTATATTTTATAATTCATAGAACTCGTGCATTTTTAATGCCAGTGAGAGTGACAAAGAATGGGCAATATTTAACTGGCTCAGGCCGTCCTGGTAAACCAAGACTAGTGACGCATCAGTTTGATTTGCTTTAAGGGTATGTTTTTCATTTTGGAATTATCAAATATTCACAAGCACTGGGACATTTCTCCCTTTATATATATGAGAAATTAAAGATGGCACAAAGCTAACCCAGCAATCGATAACAGACTTGTACTGCTGCTAAAACATGACATTTAAAGAACTCAGCTGTTGATAATGTCCCATTAGCCCTTTCTCTGAGGTGATGTCTTAGAGTACCTGCAGACTCAGACAGACATCAGTGCGTCCACTTAGACTGAGTTTTCATTTAAAAGTTTCTTTGTACATCTATAAGAACCAGACACTACATCAAAAGAAAGGAAAAAGAAAAGGGCAAGGGCAAGGGTTACATTCTCCAGCAAACAAAAGCACCTTCCAGATAAAAGGTACCAAGGAAATGCGAACCAACGCATTTTGGCCCTTATTCTCTTGAAAATTAATTTATCCTAAGAAGGAGTTTTTCCTTCTTGTATTATTCCTTCAGATGCAGTTTGCGTTTGCCCACATTGCAGCAGCTAAAATTGCCCTCCAATGATTATATTTCATCTCTGCAGGCAGATTCATCTACTTTTAATATCCTCTGCATCAGGGGTGTCAAACCTGTTCCTCTTGACAGGCTGAATCTGGACCCAGCAATGGAGGCAGTGCAAGCGGCAGTGGCACAGGGGCTAACAGAGCTGTCGCCACCACCATTCACCAGACCTTTCCAATGAGGAATTTGGCAGCAGGCTGCCAGGAACTCCATGGACCAGATCTCTGACACTCCTGCTCTACATTTCTCGCCGAAGCTGTGGACTTTTCAAATGGTATTTTTCAGGTGTCATTTCCCTAGGGGACACAGGAAAACTTCCTAATCCTTCAATATCCTTATCTTTATCCTTCAATAAGGTCAGCTATCAGACCTAAAAAGGTCCACTAAAAAGATGGGTAAGGAGACAAATAGCTAAAAGTAGTGGAAAAATAGGTTAGGGATCACTTGGAGAAACCTGATGCTTTCAAGTTGTCAGGGCCAGATGGGGTGGGGACCCCAGGGTACTAAAGGAATCGGCTGAGGTAATTTCAGAACCATTTGAGAAACTCTAAGAAATCAGATGCGCTGAGAAATCCTGGAGGTCAGGTGAGATCTTAAATTATTAGAAAAGGGCAAATAATAGTGCCCAACTCTAAGAAAAGCAAAAAAGGAGGATCATGGAATTATGGATCAGTCAGCCTCGACAGCTAGAAAGATCATGGAGCAGGTCCTCAACCAATCCATTGTGAAGCACAGACGAGACCAAGAATAGCCAGCCTGGATTCACCAGGAGCAAATCATCAGGCTGACCAACCTGACTAGCTTCTACAAGCTCTGTGAATGAGAGGAGAGCAGTGGATGCAATATACTTTGACTTTAGCAAGGCTTTTGAAGCAGTCTCCCACAGCATCCTCATGAATAAGCTAAGGAAACACAAACTAGATGAAAGTACTATAAGGTGGATATGTAACTGGTTAGATCATCATGCTAAATGAGTAGTCATCAATGGTTCAATGTCTAGCTGGAAGGAGGCATCAAGTAGGGCTGCCACAGGTCTCTCCTAGGTCTGGTATTGTTTAACATCTTTACTAATGATTTGGACAACAGGACTGAGCGCATGCTTTGCAAGTCTGCAGACAGCACCAAGTTGGGTGGAGTTGCAGACATTCTGGAGGGTAGGGCTAGAAGCTACAATGATATGGATAAACTGGAGAAGTGGTCCCCCAGAAAAATCAGATGAAATTCAACAAGAACAAGTGTGAAGTCCTGCACTTGGACAGAATAACTGCATATACAAATACACACTGGGGAATGGTTGGCTATGCTGCAGTACTATGAAGAAGAACCAAGGGGGTTACACAGGACCACAGCTGAATGAGCCAACAGTGTGCACCTGTTGCAAAAAAGGGAGGGCAAAAGGGCGGGGGGGGCGTAGAAGGTAAAAAGCCAACAGTACACTGAATTGTGTCAACCTGGAATATCATTTGCAAATCAAAGGCAGCAATTCTTCTGTTCTTTTCAGTACCGATGAGCTGCCTCGTGGACTGCTCTGTCCAATTTCAGGACGCACGCTTCAAGAAGGATATGCAGAGTTTGAAAAGAGTCCAGTACAGAGGAACAAAAATGATTGGAGGTCTGGGACACATGATTTATGAGGAAAGGCTTAAA